CCCGGCCGGCAGCTGCGGGCTGCGCTGGGAGCGAGCGGGGCGGGCGCGCAGCGCGGCCCGGGGGCGGCGGAGCCCCGCGCTGCCCCGCGCAGGACCCCCCTTCCCCAGCGGAGACCCCTCCCCGCGGGCTCTCACCTCGCAGTCCTCTTCGTACTTGACATTATCTGCTAGTTTCCACAACATGGCGTCCAGCGTCCGGACCAGGTGCGCGGTGCCGCGGACAGACGAGAGCTCGGGCCCCCCCCACGGGCGGTAAATCCACGTCGGCGCTGGGGAAGAGGAGCGGCCCCCCGGACGGAGCTCAGTTGGCAGGCATGAAGGCAGCTGACGGACTAACCCTCCGCGCTTATGGTCACTCGGGTTTTTTTTCCCTGCCCAGACGCCCTTAATGGCAATAGGATTATCCTAACTCCTCCCCAGGGATGGCTCGGGCGCCGCGGCCGCCAGCCACTCAGGAGGGAGCGCGCAGCCCCAAGCCACTCCTTCCGCGCCCGCGGAGTTTGGGTGGGCGGGCAGCGCGGAGCCGGACTCCCCCTGCCGCCCCCGGAGCGCTCGGGGGTCGGTGCTGCCCTGAGGGGAAGGGGTCACGCGTGGGCATCCCCCGCACCCGCACCCCGGGCTTCCCCGGGTGCCGGATCATTTTTGGGGGTCTGTGGAAGCAGTGCCGGGTGTTCCCCGCTCCCCCACGCGTGGAAGAGTTTGTTAAAACCCGCCGGGGGGGCGCGGCACCGCTGTCCCCACATTCGGGAAATTTTGGGGGAAATAAACTCTGAAAAAGTCCTCGTAGCAAAAGCGAGAAAGTCCGACCCCAGCCGGGACTTCATTTGCATAATTGTCAAGAGTTTGAATTACTGATTACAACTTGTAAGCTACCAATGTTTAAGGTATAATTTACTTAATGATCCGACAAGATTATTGCAGTGTTGTCGAACCCCCGGTAGGTAAAGCAGCCCTGATTCAGCGTCTCCGATCCGGRGCTCTGTGAATTGTGCGACTGGTTCCTCGCTCCAGGTTTTTTTCTTTTATTTTTTTACATTTTTAAACGAAAATCCCGCCTGTCTAATCTTTTCGCGCGAACTCGAGGCTGGGGAAGCAGGTGGGAGGTGAGACAGGCATTTTCGGACGCCGTGAGCACACTTTCATCTAAGCTTAGAAAATACTTCCCTGCCAAATTGCTACCTTTCTGCAGGCATTTGATCTATGCAGTTATGTGTGTCAGACGAAATGAACATCGTTTTCAAAAGCAACGACTTCTCCCAGTGTTTTAAGGTGCATCCGGATCGCTGCTCATTTGCATGAGAGGAGCAAGTGTTTGTTTATTGTGGCACAGACAAAAGCTGACCCTGGCCAGTGCTGGTGCGGAGATCTCGGCTATCAGTGCCCGGGGACTGAGAGCTGCTATTAAAGGCCCGAGATAGATCCAGTCTCCAGATTAAAACAGTTCACACTTCGCTCACTTTCCCCCCCCACCCCTAAAGATCAGGGAAGAAATATAACAAGAACGCTAATTAAAAAAAAAAAAAAAAAAAAAAAAAAAAATAATCCAAACATCATAAACCCCTCCATCCGACTAAATGAATGATCTAAAAATAAACCCCAGGAGGACGGGGGTGCTGGAAGTAACTGTTGGAGGTGTTATCTGCCTTATCTAGCACGCAGGTGCTGATTTGCAGCAGTCGCATAAAGCCCATCATCATCAGCGACTCCACATTATCATTTTTGGTGGAGTCTCTATTTATTTATTTTTTTTTTTAACGACGGTGTTTTTCTTCCAGGGATGTTTCTTTGAAATGCAGTTCGCGACGATTATTAGCGAGTGTGCTTGCGCTGCTCCTGGCGTCATTAAGACTACGAATCTAAATAATAAAATGCAGGGGGAGCTTAAAGTTCATTTGTATTAAAGAGACAAGATGGATTTAGAAAAGAAACGAGGAAGGGAATCGTCGAGCTTCCCGCGTTTGGGATCAGCTCTTCTTCCTTCCAAATGAGAATTGCAGCAACTTTGGTTATTTTTATTATAAAGTAAGAAGCCAGATTTTCTCTCAGCTCAGAAATGTCACACTGAGAAGCGAACAGGATTTTTTCATTCTTTGGAATTGCCATCGCCTGAACACCTTCGTTTTGGTGGCCAAAATCACGAAGGTGAATTCACATTCTCATTATTTATTGTGTATATATGAATAACATTTATAAAGAGCAGCGTGGAGGAGGATGAGGGATGTGTAAGAAATTACCTAAACAAGGCGACCACAATAAGCACTTGGCTTCCTAAAAAGCAAACCGAGAGAGCGGAGAAGAGGCAGAACACGACAAAGTTTGAGGCAAACTTCCCGGTGCATCCACTTGCTCCTCGCTCTGCGCTCGCAGCCGCTGCCGGGGAGCGGAGCAGGGTCTGGGCTCCGCGGGGAGCGCTCGGGCAGGGCAGGGAGAGGGAAGGAAGGGAAGGGAAGGGAATGGAAGGCAGAGCAGGGCAGGGGCGGGCACTGCCCTTCGCCCCCGCCGGGTGCCCGGCAGGTGATGGACGCGGCCCCCGCCCCGGCTGCTGCCGGCCAGCGATGCTTTGGAGCAATAAACGCCCTGGCACCCGGGCAGCTCGGCTGGTCCGCTCTTCTCTGAGGGGTCAGGGACGGGGATAGCGCTGTTTGAGCTGCTCCCTCTCCGGAGCGTGGCTTTCCGCAGCGCTCCGCGGTTCTCTCAAACCAGGAGCCGGGGGTCTCCGCGGAGCTCAGCGGCAGCAGCGCCCGGAGAACTCTCCATTTCCAGGATTCGCCCGGAGAACTCTCCGTTTCCAGGATTCGCCCGGAGAACTCTCCATTTCCAGGATTCTCCCGGGCACAGGGAAGGCGCAGGCATCCAGGGCTGCTGCAGGGACACCCAACCTCCCTGGACACGCCTTGAGAAACGGGGCAGAGCTGTGCAGGGTCCGAGCAGCAGCCAGGGAGGGAGGTTGCTCCTGACAGGTGGCGGCTTTTATTTACTTATTAAAAATAATAATAACAATAAATTATTTTTAAATGAGTGCTCTCACTTCGGGGATATCCCCTGATTCCGAGCGGGAGAGGCGCCGTGCTGCATGAGTTCTGAGCTCCCTTTTTGACGAGGATGCAGTTTCCCATGGGGACCACGAAGCACCCCCAGGCGTGAACACGCTTCGGGAGGGGAGCCAGAGCCCACTGCTGCGCCTCTGTCACAGCCAGTAGTTTTCCTATTTGGCAGCAATTAAAAGAGAGCGTGGGGATGCTAATTAGTTACATCCCTCTTCCTCTAAAAATTATTTAAACACACACATATCTGTGTTGTTAATGAGGCTGCCGCAACCTGTCCGGATTGTCGCCTCGGCTCCTGCCGAGCTCCACAAAGGCAGCTGCTGCCCCGCGGCCCCGGGAGACTCCGCGGAGCTTCCCCAGCGCGGCCGCGGCAAAGCGGGGCGTGCCCCCCATCCCATCCCGATCCGACAGAGGGGCAGGACCCCCGCCCGCAGCCCAGAGCCGGGGGCAGAGCTGGGGGGCTCAGGGGGTCCCGGGGGGCTCAGGGGGTCCCGGGGGGCTCAGGGGGTCCCGGGGCCGCGGTACATACGTGCCAGGCGATGCTCCGCAGCAGAGCCGAGAGCAGCCGCCCCCCCGAACATCGGGGCGCGGAGCATCCCCACCGCATCCCCCTCCCCTTGTCCTCCCCCTCCTCGACCCCGGCCGCCCCCTGGCCCGGGAAGGCACCGAGACACGGCCCTGCCCGCCCGTTCCCGCTGCCGGATGGATCCCACGGGCCGCGGCACAGCCGGCACACTTTAAATCTTTTTTTTTTCCCGCTGCTCCGCCGTTTCTCCTCCCTTCACAGCCCCGCGGGGGATGCGGGGGGCGGTGTGTGTCTGTGCCCGTGTTTCCCCGTGGCTGCTGGCACCGGAGCATCCCCGAGCTCCCTGCCTGACTGGAGCTTTGTCCTTTCCCTCCGCTGTGCCCCCCTGGCAGGGCAGCGGCCGCTCGGGAGCCGCGGGCGCACCCGCAGAGCCCCGGGCTGCCCCAGCTCCCCGAGGCTCCCGCAGCCCCGGGCAGGCAGCGCCGGGCCCCGCCGGGCTCTGGGCACCTGCCCCGGCGTTCCGAGTGCCCARGGCCAGGTTGGCCGGGGTTTGGAGCAGTCTGGGCTAGCGGGAGGTGTCCCTGCCCAGGGCAGGGGGTTGGAACCGGGTGAGCTTTGAGGTCCCTCCCATCACAAACCATTCCRTGATTCCGCTCGGGGTGCAGTCAGCACCCCCGGGGCTGTGAGTGGGCTGGTGCCCCCAAAAGTGAAGGTGATGGGGAGTGGGGAGGGGCTGCACTGCCAAGCACTGATTCCTATTCCCTGTCTCGCCTTCCAGCTCGCACCTCTGCAGGAAGCAAGAAGAAAGTGCCCACGCTGGTGCTGCTTTTCCCCCAGCCTGTTCATTTGCTTAATAAACACGATCCCAGCTCTGTTTTGTCGCTGCTCCTTCCCTCCGGAGCTGGAGGAGCAGAGTCCCCCGGCCATGGCGTGCCCTGAGCCCGCAGCACAGAGGATTTTAGCAATTGCTGGGCACAAGTGACAGCTTTGGCACCGGCTGCTTTTGGGCCCTGGGTGAGATGCTCCATGGCATGTGGCAGAGCTTCAGCAGCGATGTGCAGCTGCCTGGGGCTCCTGCAAAGGAGCTCCTCTGGCTTTTGTAGCGAGGATTTCTGTCAGGCTGGATGGAGATGGATACCTGGGAGAGAGAGAGTTCACAGGAACCAGCAGCCACAGCGAGGGACAGGGCAGGGGAACATCCACTCCCTGCCTGGCCCTGTCCTTGAGGCAGGGGGTGACCACAAATATGACAGCAGCTGCATTTTACCTTGCTCTGCTCATTCCCAAAGCAAGGACAATAATCCCAGAGCTGGATTCTAATCTGGTGGGACACAGAGAGAAGTGAGAGCTGTGGTTCCTCATCCCATCTCTGTCCCATGATCCTGAGGCGCCTCCTCAGGGCTCTGACATTTTGCCTGCAGTGAAATGAGTTCATTCAGAGGAGATGCCCTGATTTTTTCAATTCCCTCCTTTTCRTGTCCATCAGGAGCTGTTAGCAGAGGGTTTCTCCAAAGGCTGTCACCACTGGACTGTGTGTAATTGATGTGTTCTCTATTGTAGGAAGCAGGCTCAAAATAAATGATCAAAAACCCCCAAAAAAGTCAAAACATGAGAATGCTACAAGTGAAATCAGGGTTAATATATTGAGCAAGGATCTTTCCTGAGAGTAAAAAGATGAACAGGCTCTTGGCACAATAGACATAAATCATGTTATAAAGCATAAATGTTGGTGATGATTGTTTCATGCACACAAATGCTGGGGCAGAATGTTGATGTTTGGGAAAGGTTTCCCCATGGACAGAAATGGGCACCAAATGTTTTTCCACCCCCAACTCTGCTGCCTGTGCACCTTCAGGGTATCAATCAAGTGAATAAAGTGTGATTTTTAAAATACTCCTCCATGGACATCCATAGACACACATAGACAGAGCAAGATCCAAATCCTAATAGGAAAATTATCTAAAAACCTTCCAAAGTGTTTTTGAGCACAATATAAATCAGAGATGCAGCCTCCATGCAGGAGGGAAGGAATTTACAGAGCATTCAGTTGCTTTATTTCCAGTTACCTTCCACTCTTTAGTCTTCGGGGGTGATGAAATCAGTAAACTGACCTTGATGTGGGGACAATGGGTCATGTGAGTTGAAGCTGAGGATTTTCCCTGTAGGCAATTTAAATAAGTAAAGAAAACGCATTCAGTTGCTCTCTTACTTCCATAGTCCCGTTTCTCAAAAACTCATAATCTTTCTAAAAAAAACCGTTTTTCCTGGAGTTTTCCAAAAAGCTCAGATATCAAGACAAAATCTTGAACTGTATCATGAATGGAAGAAAAGCTCCCTCAAGGAACTGATTTTGGTTACTCAAGCAAACACATGCAGAGGCTGAGTGGTTTTTTTATAGATAAACTCGCAGCAGTTCTATGCTGCATGAAATCTTTTGCCCACTCCTCTGCAGCCTGACCTGGCCCATTATCCTGTCCACAAAACCAATTCACAAAGATTCCAAAGCTGACCCTAAACCCGGGCTTTGATGGACTCTGGGTCTACCACACTTGGTCCAGATCAAATCTGGACTGTTGGGTGACCTGGGTGTGGGGAGAGCTGGGATTAACAGTGCTGGGAATGTGGCCTTGGATGGTAAAGAAAGACTTGGAGGGATGTGAGAGGAGCTGCTCCTCTCTCTGGGATGGGGAAATTTGACTTTGGAGACCCATGGGACAAGGCTCTGTCAAGGAACATCTCAGAGAGCAGGAAAGGCATTTTTTACAGTGAGAATTGTGGTGGAACACGATGGACGGTGCCTCTGGAAGCCAACCCTGACCCTGGGAGCTGAGGAACCAGGTCACCACTTCCWCGAATCGAAAACAATCGCAGCAGCGAAACAAAACCAGCTCAGCTCACCAGATGCAAATGCAGCGGCAGACACGGGCCCCAAGCAGGTCAAGCTGCACCCATGCAAATGCTGGGCTAGCCCAGAGCTCAGCGAGGTGGCCAGGCCGGGTGGCTGCAGAGTGACCCGATCCCAGCCCGGACCGGCTCTCGGGCTTTGTGGCACAGCTCCCCGAGAGGCTGCGGGCTCCCGGACCCCGCGGTGGGATGCGTTTTATCCGCGGAGCTCCGCGGGGAGGCTGCGCAGCCGGAGTAGCCCSAGGGGAGCTTTGGCAGCAGAGCCGGAGCGATAAAGCGCTGCTCTTGTGTAAACACACARAACACCGGCTAAAGTGCTCTTCTGTCAGCGGAGCTTAGCCCGCCGGGGCTCTGCCAAGGGAATCTTCCTTTCGGCCGGGCTGTGGAGCTGCTGGGGTGAGGCTGGAGCCGCTCAGCGCAAACAGAGCCGGGCCGGGGCTGTTCCCATCTCCCGATCGCAGGGGACAGCGGTCACTGCTCTGTCCCAGATGTCAGAAAAGTCCCCACAACCAGGGAAATGAGGCCGTGAGGGTCCCCCAGAGCCCCCATCCCCTGGGAATAGCCGGGTTCCTCGCCCATGCCCAGGCTCCGGCTGCCCCTTGCGCCCGGGGCTCGTTCCAGCCAAGGCAGCCAAAGCTGTGCCAGCCCACGGTGCATTCGCAGAGCAGAGAGCGCTGCTCGATGGCAGAGGGTGGCGATGGACCCGGGGAGGCTCCCAGGGACGGCAGGGAGGGATGGGCTCACACTCATGCAGATTCTGGGACTCTGGATGGAAGAGCCCCACGCTGTAGAGTTTTCTGTGCCAAACCGCGCTAGCCGAGATGGGGAACGGCCTGAACACACTCCTTTTTAAATCCCAAGCCCTCCCTCCCTAAAAACCCCTCCTCAGGTGCTCCAGAGAGTGTGCAGTGTCCGTGAGCCTCCTCAGTGGTGAGGATGCTGTCTGCACAAAAGCAGCAGAGGAGAATTTACATTTTCGGCAGCCCCAGACCGAAACTCTGCCCCGCTCTGCGTGTCCCCAGCAGCTCCACACCATCCACACACATAGGCAGTGCCATGTCCTGCTGTCCCCGCCGTTTGGGATGCGGTGTTTCCTTGTTTGGAGCGGGGAAGCAGCAAACAGGGACAGGTAAAGGATGAAAACCTCCAGTTGCTCCTGCCCCAAGCTGGCTCCGGGAGCTCTCACCGTGCCAGGGACACCAATCCCCCCCGAGCAGGCACAGAGCAGGGCTGGCACATCCCGGAGCCGCTGGCACATCCCAGCAGGGCTCAGGAGAGCTCTGCTCCCTCCAGACGTGCCCACGGGGGATCGCTCAAAGCAGGAAAGCTGCTCTGCAAAGGGGCGATGCTGACTCTGAGCAAAGGCTCCTCTGGTCCCAGGAAAGCCCTGGGTGGAGGCCGTGGCTCCGGGCGAGCTCTGCAGAGGGTTCTGGGCTCCCCACGCCCACAGCCCCTCCAGGCTCCCGTCTCAGGACAGTCTCCCCGCACCGTGCAATTGCTGCTCCTTGTAATTTTCCCCGAGCTGGTGCCATTGCAAATGCCATCCTTATCTCCCTAAGTACAGCTCCTCTCCCGAGTCGTTAACAACGTCACACAGCAATTTGTTACATAAGCTCATTAAGGGTTTTTTGTTTTTTTTTTTTAAATGTATCCATGTTAATAGGAGCATAAATATGGAAATCTTAATTTCAGACCTGTCTCCGAAAGCATTAGCTGGGAAACTGGTCTGAGAAAAAGCAAACAGGGCCCGGGAACACCCAGGGAACTCTCCAGGGTTTGATGAGTGAGCAAGAGTGGGGCTGCCAAGGGTTGTGCTCCTCACTGTTCATCACATGAGACCCTTTAAAAACTCATTCTCCACAGACAACCTTCAGCAGCTTTTCCCTGTCCCTCCCACCTCAGTGACAGGCTATTTTTATTGTATTTTTTTTCTCGATTAACACAAATGAAAGGGCTGTGGCTCTCCAAAGCAAACAGCAGCGTTGGCTGCAGCCCAAGRATCCCCAGTGAGTGTCTGTACCTGGCAAGGTGCATTCACAAAGGGCTCTGCACAATCCCATCCCCTCTCCTTTTCTGCAGCATTTACAGCACTCTGCGCTGTTTCAGCACCTTTAATTTGGTGATTTAACTTAGCAGAACATTTCCACACCTCGGGATGYTTCCC